CAAAGTAGTATTAAATTCTAGCCTATTACAGTACTATCCAAATTATTTTATTGTGTTTCACTTTGGGGAATAATATTTGAAATAAGTAGACCTCTTTTAACAATTTTAAATATTTGTAAGGTGGTTCCATGGCGCAATGGGTAGCGCATTGGACTTCTAAAATATTTGTTGTTATAGGCATAGTTCCACTTTCTAGAAAATGGTTATACATGCCTTTGACCTACAGAATATATGTGGTTTTAGATGAAGCCAGCATCTGATATTACCTTTTGGCAGGTTTTTTTTTAATCTGTTTAGTGATTAATATTAAAATGGGTACTTGAAAATCATTTCTAAAGGAAGACTAGCCAAAAACAAGAATTGCCAAGGGGAAAATCCTTTACAACTCCACTGAAATTGCTCATTTAGTCAGCAATGTCCTCCACCTTATTAAAGCCAACCCCAGACCTTAATAAAGCTGTCATCAGCTTTTGACACAGTTGATCACTTCTTCCTGCTAGATTCTTTCTCCACACTGGGCTTCTGGGATACACACTTCCTTGAGTTTCTGCCTATATTACCGGCTGTTCTTTTTCAGGGCTGGCTCCTCTTTTTCTCCATCTCTTAATGTTGGAGGGACCAGGCCTGACCCATTGATATCCTGTTGTCTTTATCTAAACCTGCTCCCTAGTGATTTTATCAGTATTGTAGTGTTAAGTTGACTATATGCCAAGGACTCCTAAATTTGTGTTTCCAGTCCCGACCTATTTCCCCAAATCTAGTCCTGTATATCCATTTGCTCACTAGACATCTCTACTTGGGCATTTCGAAGTTTGCGTGTCCAATATCACATCCCTGATCCTCTCACAGAACCAACTTCACCTATAACCTTCCTATCTCAATTAAAGAAAACTGCACCTAACTATTTTCTCAGGGAGAAAAAAAACCTGACTTCTCTCTTTCTCTCATGTTCTACTTCCACTCTATCAAGAAACCCTATTGTCACGCCTTCGTACCACCTCCACTGCCATCTCCCCAATAGGGTCTACCATCCTCTCCATCCTGGATCTTGCAGCAGCTTCCTAATCGGTCTTCCAGCTTCTGCACTTGCCTTCTTAGGGTCTATTCTTCAAGCAGCAGAGTCATCCTTTTAAATCATAGGTCAGATCATGTCTCTCCAAAATCTGCCAATGGTTTCCCATCCCCCTTAGGGTAAAAGTCAAAAGTGTTTGAGGGACCTATATTATCTGGGTACCTGTTACCTCTTTGACTTTACCCCCTCTGTCTTTTTTGTCCATTCACCAAACACACAAGGCACACCCCACTTTCGTGTCTTTGCACTGGCCAGATGTCTTTGTCTCCTTTGAGATTTTCTTTAAATGTAACCTTCTCAATGAATCTTTGCTCAAATGGAACCTTCTCAATGAGCCTTCTAAGTAAAGCCAACACTGATGACTTTAATTAAAATTGCAAACTAACCCACTTCAGCGTTCCCAATTCTTACTGTGCCTCTCTATTTTTT